AAAAAAAAAAGAGGAGAGAGACACTGTGGACATGTTTTGCCCAAGATTATAGTGAATAAGTGGCAAAAAAAGAAAACCTGAATTACAAGTACCATTTTCTATCATTTCTCTAACAGAAACATAAGAAGACATGCCCAGTGAAACTTCAAAATTTGCTCTGTAAAGGTAGGGACAAATCTTTTGCTTGCTTTCCTTCCCTCTTCTTATTACCAAAAATGCAGTTGTAATGACTTGAGTTCTCACAACCACCTGGAGGCAAAAGGTAATCTTAGTAACAGAAACAATACTCATGGAGGAGAAAGGAGTCTTTCCATGTCTCTGAATAGTCAATGAGCCCAAAAACCCAGAGCTGCCTTTTCTTGGATTTCTTTTATGTGTGAGAAAAACCTTTATGTACATAAGTCAATATAATTGGGCCTGACACTTGCAAATAAACCTAACTCTAAACTCAAAACGAATCAAGTTAAAAAAAAACCCAAATCTAAACAATCCAGTTAGAATATGAGCAAGATACATAAGAGACATTTAACTTAAAGAAATACAGATGGAAAAATCAACATATGAAATGATAAACATCATTATTCATCATTATTGTGCAAATTAGAACCACAATGACATACTACTTTACACCTATCACAAGTATTGCGTATTCATAGCATGTAATAATACTTACCAGTAAAAGAATGAACTACTGATGCACACAATAGCCTAGATGAATCTCCAGAGAAACATGAATGTAAAAAAAAATCTCAGATGATATACTGCATTATTCCATTTATATAAGACTCTTGAAATGGAAAAATTACAGAACATATTACTGGTTACTAGGGATTAAGGAGGGGTAGAGTCAGGAGGGAAGTGAGCATGGCTATGAAGGGGCAACAAAGGCACCCTTGTGGTGATGGGAATATTCCATCAATGTCAATATCCTGGTTATGATAGTTCTATAGTTTTTCCAGATGCTACCATGGGGAAACTGGATAAAGGGTACATATGATCTCTCAGTATCATTTCTTATAAGCATATGAGAATCCACAATTATCTCAAAATAAGTTCATATGTATATATACCCATACATATATAATCTGTCCCTTAATTTACATATAAAATTTAAAATCTTTTCACTTAAATGCACCCCAGGATTAGTTGTGGAGGTTTTGGCGAGGGCCTTAACAGAGTAAGTACAACATTCCAATGTGAGGATGCAGACCACCTGGTAGGACTTGTACAAAATGAGAGGATAATTTGTTGGAAGATCTAAACAACTTACCTGCTTCAAAAGTCTAAAGTGCTTGAGCATTAGAGATTGGAGAACAAACATTTTTGCCATCACTGTTGTTATGCTGCCATACAACCCTTCCCCTCAACGAATGGCAGTAGGTGATCCCTCCTCACCCTAATTCAAGAGAGGAGGTTTTAAGGAGAACACTGGGAAAAATTAAAGTCTGGGGGACATGATGGTGTTTGCTTCTTATTTGGAAAGTCTAAAATGCTAAAGAATGGTTGATGGTTGCTTAGAGTTGTGAGAAAAAGAAGAATGTGGATGTTTAGAGTGACCATTTCATAATAGTATCTCAGGTTTTACTGAATAGTAGGAGCAAAGAATCTGTTGGCAAAACAATGTGGTTTTCACATGAGCCAATTGTGAGTTACTCACTTAAGGAAGCCAGCATGGGTCTGGTGTGGTAATGCACACCTGTAATCCCAGCACTGAGGAGGCTGAGGAAGGAGGATCACAAAATCCAGGCCAACCTCGATTACACAGAGAGAGCCTGTCTCAAGAAAACAAAACAAAACAAGAAAAACAAAAAAGGAAGAAAGAAAAAAGTGCAAAAGAAGACAAGGTAGCACGGAATCAGGATTGTCTTGGATTTGCTCCCTTTCTTGAAGGGAGTCCTTGAAGAAAGGGGTGAATAGTCCTTGAAAAAGAAGACAAAGACAAGTAGGAACTGAGATGCTTCAGCTGTTCTCATGGAACCCATAGTGTGAGTAGAGTGGGTCATGGAAGAACCTATGAAAATGTTCATGAGAAAGAGAATTGATTTTAACCATCTGCCAAGCCCAGAGAGTTCCAATGCTAGGTCATGAAGACAGTACCAATTTAGTTAGAACTTTCCTCTTAAATTACTTCCATTAAATCCTCTTCCTTAAATTCTAAATCTAAGTGGGCTGTGTTCTTCCATCTCTATTAGCCATACTGCTTTCTTCATGTCTCCAATGGACATGAGCAACAAAAGAAGTCTGAACTCTACTGCTACAAAAAAATTTTGACCCTGTATTTTGATTCCTAAACATAGACTGAAACTTAAATAATCAAACAACTGTTACTAACATCTAAAAAGAAAAGGCTCAGAAGGCTGATTGAGTTTTCATCCAGGGACAGGTAGAACCAGCCCCATAGAAAGGGTGGCAGAAGAAAAAAGTTAGTTTTATAATTGTACACTATGAGTCCTGATTGTTCAATATTCTAAATAAAAAGGTAATTTTCCTATATACCTTAACAAAGTTTTTCTGAATTATATATTAGCATATTTTTGTGTTTGAGCATAAATGTGTATTAAATGTTTTCTACTAGATACAGATATGGTAGTTTCTTATTTATAATACAGTAGTCAATATTTTTTTCTTGATGGGGTTTGAACTCAGGGCTTTGTGCTTACATAGCAGAAGCTCTATCACTTGAGTCACACCTCCAGTCCATTTTGCTGTGGTTATTTTGGAGATGGAGTCTTGTGAACTATTTGCTTGGGCTGGTCTCAAACCCTGAGTCTCCTGATTTTAGTCTTCCAAGTAGCTAGGATTACAGGCATGAGTAACCAGCACCCAGCTCAGTTCCCAGTTTTCTTGAAACATAAAACCATGTATTTTAGCTTATTGTATACAAGGTTCAGATTTTAGAAAAAAATGGCAGAACAATTACAGCTGGAAATTTAAGTTGGAATCTAGTTCCTATTAAGGATTACAAAATGTCCATTTATTTCTAGCTTTTGTGACCACTGGCCAAAACTGTTTTTCCTCTTCTAAATTTCGCTTGAATTTATTGTACATTTCACCCATAAGTAGATGGGAGAAAGAGCAGTGAAATTAATTCCAATGAGAGGAAATTCTAAATAATCACTGGCTGGCCAAATGAGCACTAATTCTAAATCACTCTTAAGTCCTCTGATATAAATGCCCAGAGACTAGTGGAAAGCCTGCAATAAACAGCAACCCCAGTGACTTCTTTTGGATAAGCTTGTTCATAATCTGAAACAGATTTAGCCTGTTACATAATTTGACTTCAGTATCCTTCTTTTGAGTATACAATGAATACCTTTCATACTCATTTGAAAGTTAATTCTTCGTGGTAAAAGTTATAGTATTTGTATTGGCTACAATAATATTACATATCTTGTAAAGAATATATAACTCAATTTTACAGTGGTTTGTTATAAAGTAAAAAAATATAGTATTCTGATTCAAAGATCTAGTGTAGTGGCTTTCTTTATAATATTTTTTAAATGGTACAAAGATCAATGATACTTTGTAAATTCTAAGAACAGATTTTTTTACTTCTTTTTTGGTTATAAAGTGATTAAAATATTTAAAACTTCAAACAGATCTCTGAAAAACAAGCAGGACTTACTGGTGATATTATACTATCAATGTCACTAAGTACAGATTTTATTTTTGATCCATCACAGAATGCACTTTCTAATTGTTTTTATCATTTCAAATTCAGCTTCAGAAAGAAGAAAATACCTAACTTCAAAGTAAGAATTAAGTAACAAAGACAAATTAAAAAATAATGTTAAGTATTAAGGCTGTTAGTTGGAATAAGCTGCAATGCAGAATTTCTTTGAACACCATAAAGTAAACTCCAAGAAGTATTTGCTTCATAAACAATTTCATTTCTTATGTAACAATTTCATTTCTTATGTACTATGATTTCCTTAGAAAGATCTATACATGCAACTTATATGTATAGCTATTTCACTAAACCTGACAAGTTTTTAATTCAATATTTTCTATAACACATAGAGATTCAGTGTCTTAGGCCATTTTTAGAATATTTTTATTAGGATATATTCATTATACAGGAGGATTCATAGTGACAATTCTGATTAGATTTATATTGTATATTATTTACATTGCCCCCATCCTCTCTCCCCCTCAACTCCCTCCTGCCCCACATAAAGCAATTGCAAGAAGTTTCTTAGTTCTGTTTCATACAGATATATGAAGTCTATCTTCTGTATACTGTCACCTTAATCTTCATAGGCCATTTTGTGATGCTTTAACAGAACAAATTTGTTGGCCTGTTGTTCTGGAAGCTGGGAAGTAAAAGATCAAGGGTCAGTATCTAGACAGCAGCTTCTTACTACTTGGTGCATGCCTGAAAGAAGAGGGGCAAGTGAGGGAAAGAGAAAGGAAGAGGGAGAGACAGAGAAAAAAGACAGGGATTAAACTTGTCCTTTTATAATGAATTTACTTTTTCAATAATTCACTTATAGAATGGTGCTCTCATGGCCTAGTCACATTTCAAGAGGACCCACCTCCTAATGCTGTTACACTGGGGATTAAGTTTCCAACATGTTTTTTTGGGGACACATTCCAATGTGTCCTGTTAAAGAAAATAAATATAAAAAGACAAATTACTTTTATTTTAAAGGATTATTTCACTCTACTAATTCCTTAATGACTCTTATGCTGCCATGATAAGATGTTACTGATGGGCATTACAGTATCTTAATGGCTTAAGTGTTTTAAAACTCATTGGTGGAAGGCAGATGTTAGAATTATACCCCTTTCTTTGTAAAGACTGCAATAAAACCCTCTCATATTCCAATGGCTTTTAAATACTATTATGTAGGAGACATCTGCATCCTTATCAGTTCAGGTTCCAGGTAGGAAAACAAATCTTTCAAAATATTTTAAGACACCATGTATTATGGAGAAAATAGTTACATAGGTGTTGAAGCCTAGAAAAGCAAAAAGGGGAAATTTTCTAATTAAATCAGAAACTCTTGTGAGATGGCTACCAGTCTGGTAGGACAGAAGATGGAGGCAGTATTTTCAGAGCACAGATCAAATTCATTGCTGGGGGTATCACCTGAGTGTGTATGGTGTGGAGCTGCTTAAGCTAGGTGTGGACTGTAAGGGATCTATAGCCATTTCCCTGGATTCCAGAATAAAGAGTAAGAGAAATTAAAAACAATAGCTTTACCTTGTTCCACCTTCTCATTGTGACTGTGTCTCCTTTAGCAGAATTTTACTGGAAGCTAAATAACAAGATTTGGAAATGTAGTTTGGAGACTCCCAGCTGAACCACCATCTCAGAGCAGAGTGTATGTAAGTAGCCTACACAGCACCGTGAGGCAGGGGCATGGCAGAAATCCTCTAGACAATGAACTCCATAGAGAAAAGCTGACTCCTTTGATATTTAATAGACATCAAAGACTCCAGAGTCTATCACAGTACCTGCTGTATAAAATGATTAGTTAGCATTAAATATTGAATGAACAAATGCCTATTCCCCTCATTGGCAAATAGTTTAAATCAGTACTTAAAATAACAACTAAGTAATGCAACTGATTTTTAAAGAAACACATTTCAACTATTATGTTTAAACATGTTACAATATATGCCCCTTGGAAGTTAATATTTTTTTTCAGAGTGCTGCCATTATTCAAGGAATTTTTTAGAACGCCTCTTTTGAAACTAGTTTTTGAGAAATACATGATACACTTTCAAGGCTCTGTGTGCCGGGTGCTGTTTATTCTTTAAATTTTCCCAACTCTGTGAAGTGCCCTCTTATTGTTCCCATTTTATAAAAGAGAAAACTGAGGCTCACGGGTATGGTTGACTAGCCAAGGTAACTCAGTGAGAGGCCAGGGTTCACTTCTAGGAAATCTGGTTTGAGTTAGTGCTCCGGGAAACAACACAAAATAGGAATACGGCAATTTTTAAAACGTCAAGACTGGCAACTAGGTAACTAACTAATGAAAAGCAAACCAACACTTCGGAACAGTGTTGATAGACCCAGGCAGCCTGATGTCCTTAAGAAAGAGAGAGAAGAAGTGAGAAGCCAGCCAACCGCCCACCTCCGTCTTAACCATCTAGGGCGAGCGACTTCCAACAGCTAAGGCCGGCAGCATCCCTCACTGGACTTCATTCAGTTGGCGTCAAATCGCGGCGACCAGGAGGCGGGACTTCCGGATCAGGCTGGGCCAGTTCCGGCCGCGCCGGAAATCCCTACAGAGGAAAGGGGCCTTCGGGGTCAGAAACGCCCAGAGGATAGTGTGCGCCGCAGACTCAAAAGAAAGATTGAACAGGGATTTATTCGCGAGTGACAGAGCAGGAGTTGGGACATGGATAGTCGCTTGCAGGAGATTCGAGAGCGACAGAAGTTACGGCGACAGCTACTTGCTCAGCAGGTCCGCGACCCAGGGTGGCCAATGTGGGGAGGGATCGCGAATGCGCGTGCGTGGCTGCCCTCTCCAGCTTTCTCCGTGCGCTCCCTAGCTTCGGCTGTCAAGGTCTTTCCAGGTCTTGGTACCCTGATTTCTGAGTCTCCCCTTGTTCTCATCTCCTGCGGTTGCAGTTTCTGTCGAGGTTTCAGCCACCTGTGGACTCCCGCCAGCTGTCTGTCACAGTCTTGGTCTTTGTAAATAAATTACCCCAGTTAACGAAAGGATAAGTAACTTGCCATCCCCTACATTTCTCTTCACTATTTAAATGATCTCCTGTGTCTTGTCTTTCCTCATAGTCAGCACCAAATTCTTGAGATTTATTTGGAAATAAGTTTACATAGTATTTTTGGGGGGGTCGTTTCGAAAGACTGCATTAGAAATAGCCTAAGTGTAAATTTTAGTTCCTGCATCTCATGCAGAATCCACAGCTAATATTTGAATTCTTACTCTATATTTGTTACAACTTCCTGAAATAAGTATTATCTTCACGTATTGAATAATGAAATAGATTTTAGAGGAAGTAATTTTGCCCCTAGTCATTCACTTCTCACCAGCAAATGGAACAAATGGAACACAGGTTTGTCTCACCAAAGTTTGTTTTCTAAATCTGTCTCCTTCACTAAGTTTTGTGGATGAGTACGTTAGTGCTTGCTAGTTAGTAGAATACACATGCAGAGAATACAGATGCGCACATAATTCTCGGTAAAATCATTCTCCTTTCTATTCTGCCAAACAGGTTAATAACAGTGATGGGGGAAATGCTCAAAGGCTTTACTGACGTGTCTTGCTCTTATTTTCCGTGCTAAATTTTGGTCTTATTAAATGATAATCTGAAGCTCGTCTTCCTTTATGATCTGATGAATACTTTTGTGGCATCCTGTTTAAAAAACAGGAATTTGAAATCAGTTCTGTTCTTTGTGCCTCTGCCATTAAAATGTAGGCCAAATCAGGTATCCTTTCTAAGTCTTCTTTTTCCCAACTGTTATCATATGTTCAGAAGTGTTTAGTGGTTCTTTATTGCCACAACAACTCTTTTAATACTGAGTTCAAAATTCTATTTGATTCAAAAATACATTCAGTAAACAATTATTTGGTGAGTGTTTTAGAGCAAATACAAAGGACTGTAGCAGGTGTTAGTAAATAAATTATGAATAAGAGGTAATCCCTATCCTCAAAGAACTTAAAAAATGTATAAAATTTAATAACTTAAATTTTAATAACTGCCTGGCATTTAGTAAGTGCTAAGTATATGTCAGATTTTGCTAAGCATGCATTATCTGACCCTACAAGTCAGATGCCCTGCATTTTATAGATTAAAAAATCTCCTGTGATTTAAGTTACATGCCCAGGGCTATAATACTGGTAAGTTTGCATGCTGTAGTTTTAACATAGCCCTTTTCAAACTTTTTAGTAAGACTGTCTCCTGGTCGTTTGGTTGGATATGAATCATTCCTCTTCAGTAAGCATGCCTTATATAATCAATGATAGACATCGAAGTTACCAAATAATTTCAACCTTATTCATTTCTTTTTCTCTATATGAACAAAGCATACTGATTTATTACTCTTCAGAACGTGATTTATACAGCATATACTTTAATATTTTTAAAAACTGTTCTTTTCTTCTGAATTCTATCTACCTTTCATGGTGCAACCCAAAACTTAGTAATGAAATCTGTATTGATCTCCTTGGTTGGGGCTCTTTTTCTGAGCTTTCATTACCCTTACTTTTGAGTCTGTTACTAAATACAAATTAATTGTTGTATAGAATATAGACAATCTGAGTGCAGCTTTTGCATTTGTCTTCTGTTGGGTTAATCTTCTATCCCAATATTGCTTCTTGCACAAAGTAGGCTTTAATAAACATATGTTGATTGATGAACTATCATAGTAGAGCACAAAATGTATGATTGGCTTTTGTCTGCTGGGTGCATTGATATAGTAAGTAAGCCCAGACCATGATGGTGGCAGCTGATGCTACTACCATCTGACTCAAACTAGCATTTTCTTTTAACTTGGCTAAAATTAAGTGTCTTAATTTGAAATATAAACAAAAGCATACAATACTATTCCAACTGGAAAAATAATTCCTAATTAACATGATTTTGTGTTTCTAGTTTGCCCTGCAAACTAATTGTTGTGAGTTATATGTGTTGGCTTTTTTTTTAGTGGAACTGGGGTTTGAACTAAGGGCTTTGCACTTGTAAAAGAGGTGCTCTACCACTTGAACCATGCTTCCAGTATTGTTTGTTTGTTTTTTTAAAAAATACTTGATGTACTAAATTGTACAACAAATGTCTACAAAGGCCATTTAATGCACTGTGATCTGAATTTTGTTCTTTGTCTCTTTTTAGTTAGGAGCTGAAAGTGCTGATAGCATTGGTGCTGTGTTAAATAGCAAAGATGAACAAAGAGAAATTGCTGAAACAAGAGAAACTTGCAGGTACATTGAATAATTGTTTTTTAGAGATGTGTTAATATTTTGAAATGGCCATTGTTTTTCAAATCGCCATAGGTATGAATGTTGCTATGAAAAGCATCCAAATGATAATTTTGGAAATACTGATTTTTAGTGTCAGCTCATGAATTACAAAATATTTATTTTCTGAATACAGTAAGTTCTCATTTATAAAATAATTAAAATAGGTTGTTAGACTAAGAGTTAGCTTGCATACCAGAAAAAATTGTATTTTTAATTATAAATTATAATTTTTATAAATCTATAAGAGAAAATTTACTTTGCCCTAAAAGTGATATTCATTTCCTAGTTGAGAAAGCATTTTAGAATATTTCAAGTACTATATAGTTTATCAGTTTGCTTAAGACAGATTAAAATAATATATAATATTTCTTTTTTAATATACCCTTTGTAACTGCCTTTTTTCTTAATGGATCACTTTCTCATAAAAATAAAGTACAGAATTGTCAACTAATCAGGTTGTCTGACTTGGGGTGATTTATAAACTTGGTAAACAGATACTATTTAATCAGGAAAAGTTTGTCTTGTTCTGTTCTTATAACCTGTTACTTAATAATGCCAGTAGATGGATATATGTATCTTGTATGTGTTTGTATGTGATACTTCCATTTTAATTTGCAGAGCATCCTATGATACTTCTGCTCCAAATGCAAAACGTAAGTATCTGGATGAAGGTGAGACAGATGAAGACAAAGTAGAAGAATACAAGGCAAGTAGAAAATGATAGTTTTATGTTCAAGATAAAATAAATTAATTCTTATAATAATTGATTCACAATTAGGAAAACAAATTTGATGGCAAGCTAAATTTTAAGCTGTGCAGTAGCACATGCTAACAGTTAAATTAAGGCCTGTATGTCACTTTCCTCCTTTTATCTAAGAGTTGTGTGACTTATATTTGATTGTGTATATAACACATATTAGCATAATATCTGATAAACAATAGCAATATTTTTGAAGAAGAGCAAAGAGATAAGTGTATCAGAAATTTAAAAAAACTGAATCAGATTTTGAGACTGCAGACAACTCTTTTGAGAGAGAGACAACTCTTTTGAGTTGTCATATTCCATATTAACAATATAGAACAGTACAGTTAAAACATTTTGAGAACTCATGGTCTACATAATAGTTGTGCAATCATTTCTGAAAGAGGCCCAAGAAAAACCCGACTTCTAAATTACAGTATTTATTTTAAAGTGCTATGAATGAAAAAATTTACAAGTCAATTGTACATGTTTTTTATAGAAAAGAATGAACATCTGTAGAATGTTCAGTGATATGATACCTAATCTCATGAATACTTTCTCACATTACATTTTGATTTATGTTTATATGTAGCATAAATATTTATGATTATATTAGGCCAAACATACATAATTGCTGATATTCTAACATTCTAACATTCTTGACCTATGAAAACAGTAGCGTCGTAGGGTTCAGTGTAGTCATCATTCATGACTCAAGGTAAATTCTAACATTTATAGTATTATATATTAGGTAAATAATTCTAGACAATTGAGTCAGCAAAACATAACTTACAATAATCATTATTCATGATAATGACAAGGAAATTTTAAAAATATATATTTTTTTGGTGACCCTGGGGTTTGAAATCAGGGCCTCACACTTGCTAGGCAGGTGCTCTTACCACTTGAGTCACTCCACCAGCCTTTTTTTGTGGTGGGTTTTTTTGAGATTGGGTTTTGAGAGCTATTTGCCTGGGGCTGGCTTTGAACTGTGGTCCTCCTGATCTCTGCTTCTTGAGTAGCTAGGATTACAGGTATGAGGCACTGGTGTCCTGCTAAATTTTTTATTTTATTGTAAAAATAATCAGCTAGTTAGATCTAGTGATAAGAAACCAAACACTTTAATGTTTTACTTTAATGCTAATTTGAGACATTGTATATCTTAGGGAAATAAAATATGATGAGTCTTAAGATAGGATAATTAAAGAAATAGACTATTTATATTAACTGTTTCCTTAATCTTCCTTTTTCAAGGATGAACTAGAAATGCAACAGGAAGAAGAAAATTTGCCATATGAAGAAGAGATTTACAAAGATTCTAGTACTTTTCTTAAGGTAAAATAAACAATTTTCAGATTTATAACTTTACATTTAAGTTCTGTTTCTGAAAAAGTTTTACATACCCATTTGTCTTCCTGTTTTTTCAGTTATTGAGAAATCACTGTAATAAAATAAAGATCATTTAAATTACTTACGAAATATACATGGGATATTTGGCTGTTTAGGATGAGATAATGTTGTGTTAATGTCAGCAGACATTGAAGAATGAGTCTGTCAGTAGTGTTTTCAAATATTACTACTTTTAAAAATCTCATATTTTGACTTCATAATGAAAAACAATGCACAAAGTCAGTGTGTCTGCCATCAGAGTGCATGCTGTTAATTTTGACCATTTCTTTAGGGAACACAGAGCTTAAATCCCCATAATGATTACTGCCAACATTTTGTAGACACTGGACATCGACCTCAGAATTTCATCAGGGACGTAGGTATGTCAGATTTGTTTGGACTTTTATTTTGTTGATTATTGATTATATGCATATGATCCATTTCATAGATCCATTTCATAGATTATTTCTAACAAAATTACTTTTCCCAGTTTTCCAATCTCAGTGCTTTCAGTACACCTTTGTTTTCATAAAGCAATGTTGTTTTTTCTTTCTTTCTTTCTTGGATAATTTATATGTCATAGAATTAACCCACTTAATGGGTATAATTCAGTGTTCTTTTAGTGTCACCACAGGGTTGTTGGCAGCTATTACTGCAATCTACTTCAGAACATTTTTCTATAAATTTGTGTATTCTGAACAGTTCATATAGTTGGACTCGTACAGTATGTGGTCTTTTGTGACAGGCTTCTTTCACTTAGCATAAAGTTTTTAAAGGTCATTAGTGCTGTAGCATGTATTAGTTCATCGTTTCCTTTTATTACCAAATAATAATGTAGTATATGCCTGTGTGTGTGTGTGTGTGTGCTTATTACACATATAAAGCATTCTGTTAATCCATTCATTTGGATTTGTACTTTTGAGATGTTGGGAACAATGCATATGCATATTTATGTAAAAGTTTTTATGTGGACATATGTTCTTATTTCTCTTTGGTGTATTATACCTAGGATTGGAATTGCTGAATTGTATGGTAATTCATTTTGTTTTCTTATTTTTTTTGTCGTATTTTAACTTATTTTGTATTTGGTTCTTTCCTTTTTGAAGGTGGTACTTCTTTGTTAACTTTTTGAAGGTCTACACAAATGTGTTTCAAATCTGCTGCTCCATTTTACATACCTACCAGCAGTGTAGAAGGATTCCAGTATCTTCACATGTTGGACACTTGCTATTAAGTCTCTTACCAGATGGATGATTTGCAAATATTTTCTTCCATTCTGTTAGTTGTCTTTCTACTTTCTTGATAATATCTTTGCAGCACAAAGTTTTGACTTGAGTGTAATACAACTTTTCTTTCATTCTTTGTAAGAAATTCTACTTCTGAACTTGAAACTAATTTCATTGTTATAAACTGAATTTAAATGAAGCATAAAAAGTTATAAGTTATATGCATATTTGAGTATAAACCTTTGTGCTCTTAAGACACTTTTTTTTTTTTTTGTGGTACTGGGGTTTGAACTCAGGGCCTCGTGCTAGCTAGGCAGGCACTCTACAACTTGAAGAACTATGCTAGTCCTAAAACACTTGTAAGACAAAGAAAATATATGTATAAAAGTATTAGAGATTGAGAAAAAGTTGTATGAATGCATTTGCATCAGGTGGAGTTTGAATTTAAAATTAAGAAGTAAAATACATTATGTTTAAGCAACAAAGAACCACTGAACATTTTTGAATATAACTTGATAAAAGAACCTGTGGAAAAGAGGCTTAGAGAGGATACCTGATTTTTTCAAAATCTTCATGTCAAGGGACAAAGAACAGAACTGAGTTTTAAATCCACATTTTAGGCAGAATACCATAAATCTGTTTATCAAATGATGAATATAGGTTGCAAGTTGCTGTAGGTTGTATCTTCGGTTTTGTACATGACTGAGAACTGATGCTATTTGATGATCATAACAATCTTCAAACTTGCTTATTTGAAAAGTGATTTATACCACGGATTGAAGAAGTTTTAACATTTTTCACTTTTACTTTTGATATTAAAAATTTGATTTCTAATATAAGAGGTTTATACAATCAATAGTGTTTCTAATATGCTTCCTATGGGAGGAAAATGCACAAAAGAAAAAATGAGGCTAGGTGTGATGGTGCATACATATAATCCTAGCTACTTGAGAAATGGAGATAGGGAGGATCATGGTTCAAGGCCAGCTCTGGCAAAGAGGTAGATCCCATCTTAATAAACAAGTAGGGTATGGTGATGCAGAACTGTAGTCCTAGCTATGCAGAGGGTGTTTTAGGAAGATTGTGTGTCCCTGGGCAAAAAGCCTATCTAAAAAATAACTAAAACCAAAATAAGGGTGAGGGAGGGACTGGGTCTAGCTCAAGTGATAGAGCACCTGCCTAGCAAGCAGGAGGGTATGAGCTCAAACTCTAGTACTGCCAAAACAAAAACAAAAGAAATAAAAATGATAGAAAGAAAATACCCAATTTTTGAAGATGTGACAATAGAGTGGTGAGTGCATTGTTTTGTTTTCTTGGAAGGACTATAACCTTTGAATTCATTAATATTAACTTCAGTTGAATTGAGATTTGGAATTTGCTGTTTTTTTTCCTCTTTAGGTTTAGCTGACAGATTTGAAGAATACCCAAAACTGAGGGAACTCATTAGGCTAAAGGATGAGTTAATAGCTAAGTCTAACACTCCTCCTATGTAAGTAACTCAGTTACTCTTTGTTCTCAATTGTGGCTTAAAGTTTCAGTCTATTTATCCTATAAATTTCCTTTAAGAAATCTACATAAAACTCTGTTATTCTCATTCTTCATTATAGTAAAGTTTGTTAATTTGACACTGGTATTGAATATACGGTAGATTCTCATTTAACATTCCAGATAATTTGCTTAAAGTGCCTCTAAATGATTTTCTTACTAGAAAATTATTCAGATTTATTATATTATTTTCTTTTGTGTGTGTATATATGTGTATTATTTATTCATTTATTTTTACGGTGCTGGAGATTGAACAAGGCTCCAGGGCCTTGCACATGCTAGGCAAGTGCTGTATCACTGAGCTATATCTCCAATCAGCTTATTGTATTCTTCATAATTTGACTAAAATGCCTTAAATGACTTTTTTCCTCACAAAGTAATTTGCTTATTGAAGAAAGTTTAGAAAACTTAGATCAGGAAAAGGAGAAAAAATTTATAACTTACCATATTGAAATGTTATTCATGATAATTTGGAAGATAAGAATTCATTTTAACCTTTGCTCAACAGAATAATGTTTTCCTCAGAAATGTATATAAGGTCTTTGAAATTAGCCTACTTGGAATGTTTTTAAGAATTTAATGAAAGGTATCCTCTTAGTCATTAGAAGAACCAAAAAGAAGTCTCAGTATGTGGGGAAGTCTGAGTATATTTGAATATTTGTCCTATTTAAAATATTCCTACATATGAAATATTTTAAACTTTAAATACTTTCATACATATGAAATACCTTAATTGAAGTTAGAAGTAATTTGCAGTAGGTAGTGTGCAAAGACTACTAATATTAGCAGTTTAATGAACAAACTAATAGGAGAAAATTGTATCCATATTTAGAAACTATTTCTTACAAGGAGGAATTTGAAACTTACAGACAAATACTTTTTTCTAACCTAATTACACAACTGAGAAATCAGTCATAGAGTGTTCCTTAGAAAATTCAGATGATAATAGAAAATGGGTTAGAGATTCATATCTGAGCGTAGATTTTCAGTGTAAAAATAAACAAAGAATATATTCTGGATGTAAATAGGGAATAATATGATATTTACTTTATCATATAATTATGTCATGTCCTTGGGAAGGTATATTGTTAATGGTTTAATGTTTACACTGAAAAAGGAAGACTACATTAAAAAAAATTTAGTAACTAGCTTGTGATTACTTTGCAAATAATACTTAATTTTAATGTTTAATAATATTTAAGCAATTTCTTTCATTACCATTTGTAGGAACTTGAAAGCCTTTTCCATTTATTTATTTAGTTATTTGTCTTTAATTTAATAGGTATTTACAAGCAGATATTGAAGCATTTGACATCAGAGAACTAACACCCAAGTTTGATGTGATTCTTCTGGAACCTCCTTTAGAAGAATATTATAGAGAGACTGGCATCACTGCTAATGAGAAGTGCTGGACTTGGGATGATGTATGATGAAACTTTCTACATTGTAATGAGTTATTTATTTTTCAAATGAATATATGCTTATTTAATTAGAAAGTGAGATTATGAATACCATCCCTACTTTTGTAGGATTATAAATATGAAGTTATAGTATATATTGTAGCTGAAGGTGCATTGACACGTATTACATTATCTTTAATTTGAGTCTTCTATTTGAGGCAAAAACTGAGCAGATAGGAAGTCCTTGTCATAGAATTCTTGGATATATACCTAGGAAAGTCTAACAGCAGACAGAATGATTTGTAACTCGTTCAGCAGTTGATCAGTTTTAATAATCATTAAAGTGCATTTGTGTGCATTGTTCATTGTTTCTACTTTTTAAGGAACTTACTATATAGTACAGTATAGGTAAAGATAAGTACTAATTTCAGTATAATTGTGATTAAGTTATATTTTCCTAAAGGTTATAACTTCAGGTAGTTATGTAAAGTATCAGCTTTTATTTATTTATTTTTTTTTCATTTTTCTTTTATTATTCATATGTGCGTACAAGGCTTGGTTCATTTCTCCCCCCTGCCCCCACCCCCTCCCTTACCACCCAC